TATATATATTAATGCAGCCGTAATGCTTTAGGCGTCAAGGAGAACTGTGAAGATACAATCTTTTCTGGATGGATCCCAAAACCAGAAAAGTGGTGAAGGAGCTACGGTACAGTATTACAAGCCCTGATGTGCAGACATGTACTGTAGGATTAATGTGATAACGATGCATTGATACAATGACAATCCGATTAGTTTGGCATGATTTTTGTCCCCAAAAATGTTTGTTGTTTATACTTCCCTTGGATGTTCAAGCTTAACTGTGCAGAATGATGTATGTGCAGTTTGACACTAGAAGGCTGTTTTCACGTTCATCTGCTGAAGATGGAAAGTTCCTTTTTGTTTAAGACACAGTGTACAGAACAGTATGGGCAGGATTTTGAGATCTCGCTACTACCATGGAGCCAATTGTGGGCTAGTTATGCAATTTGCACAAGTGTGGTGGGGAAATTTGAAACCTCCAGTGCACAAAGCACTGAGAATGGACTTTCCAGTGAGGGAGGAGGCATCTTGAGTGCAGCAGTTCAGCTTTTGAAGCAACAAATGCTTGCATATTCATATCATCTGGATTTTTTTTTTCACGAGGGAGAAGGAGCATGGGTGGACCTTAAGACTTTACTTTTTTCACAGACTCAGGGTGTTTGGGGTTGAACAGAGGGTAATGACTTTATTTTATCATGCTCTGACAGAGAGTATGTTACGTTGCGGAATTTCAACTTGGTTTTGTAATTTATCAGTTAAATTTAAATCACAAACGGTCTAGTCAACACAGCAATGAAAGTGATCAGGGTAAGGGAGTGTCCACTCTCCAAATGCTCTTTGAAAAGACTATAGTTAAAACTGGGGAAATTATCCCTCACATATCCTGTATTCAGAATATGAACTGCTCCCATCATGGAGACACCATAGGGTCCCAATAATTCCAGGAGGAGAATAGGTTTAAAAACTCTTTCTCCCCTTTATCAGTGAATCTCCTAAACTCAGGACAAAAGGAGGGTGTAACATGAGGGGCGGTGTTGCATTTTGTGTGCAAAAGTTGGGCACACCTGGTCAAAATTCCGTGTACTGTATAGCAGAGCAAGAAAAACATGACCTGATTTCCAAAAGGCAAAAAAAGTTAAAGATGACACATTTCTTCAATATCTTATGCAAAGCTTTTTTTTTATTTCAAGCTTTAACAGTTTCAATATACCAAAAAGGGAAAAGGGCCTGAAGCAAAGGTCTAGGCACCCTGCATGGTCAGTCCTTAGCAGTGCCTCTTTGGCAAGTATCACAGCTTCTAAACACTTTTTGTAACCAGCTAAGAGTCTTTCAATTCTTATTTCGGGGGTTTCACCCATTCTTCCTACAAAAGGCTTATAGTTCTGTGAGATTCTTGGGCTGTCTCGCACTGCTCTTTGGAGGTATATCCATAGATTTTAATGATGTTTAGGTCGGGGGACTGTGAGGGCCATGGCGAAACCTTCAGCTTGCACCTCCTGAGGTAGTCCATTGTGGATTTCAAGGTGTGTTTGGGATTACTTTTCTGTTGTAGAAGACATCCTCTCTTCATCTTCAGCTTTTTTACAGATGGTGTGATGTTTGCTTACAGAATTTATTGGAATGTAATTGAATCCATTCTTCCCTCTACCTGTGAAATGTTCCTCTTGCCACTGGCTGCAACACAAGCCCAAAGCATGATAGATCTATCTCTGTGTTTAACAGTTGAACAGGTGTTCTTTACATGAAATTCTGCACACTTTTGTCTCCAAACATACTTTTGCTTATTCCATCCAATTTTAAATTCATCAGTCCACAGGACTTATTTCCAAAAAGCATCAGTATAGTTTTGCACAGTAGAACAGTTCACAAAATCTTTCTGCAGGTCTTTTGCAGTCAAACAGTGGTTTTGATTTGCCTTTCTAACCATCCTATGAGCAGCTCTCTCTGAAAGTTTTCTTGGTCTTCCAGACCTCAACTTGACCTTCACAGTTCCTGTTAGCTGTGATTTCTTAATTACATTATGAGCTGAGGACACAGATACCTGAAAACACTTTGCTATCTTCTTATAGCCTTCTCCTGCTTTGTGGGCATCAATTATTTTATTTTTCAGAGTGCTAGGCAGAGGAGCCCATGGCTGCTGATTGTTGGGACAAGAAGCACTCTGACAGAAATTTGCATCACCTGACCTTTCCTAACAATGACTGTGAACAAGCCAGAACCTTAACAAGCTAATTAAGTTCTGAGACCCTGGTTAAAGTGTACTGATATCTCAAATGTCTTGGGGTGCCCAAACCTTTGCATGGTGCTCCTTATTTTTCACTATAAAATTGTACAAAACAAAACAAAAAAAATACACCAATCTTGCGTAAAATGTTGAAAAGCAAGTTTCATGCCCTTTGGAGATCAGTTTATTTTCTTCTAACATAAGTATTCATGGTAAAAGAAATTTTGACCAGGGCACACCAAGCCTCTGTATTTGAATGTACTTGTATATACAAAGCACTGACCATTTTTGCACTATGCATGTAAATTTATGTGGCAGTCTTTTTGTCCAAGACAAATTCCCTCAGGGCAAATAAAGAAATCTTGAATCTTGAAATGAGCCCCTGGGCACAGACAGGCAAAAGGCCTCACCATCTCTCCCATACAGGAACAAGATATACAGACTTTGTGGTAGTGATTTTGCCTCTTTTTTGTTATTGTTGTTTTGCACCTCTTTGTAATTTTGTGTCTTTTTGTAGTAATTTTGTGTCTTTTTGCCATACCTTTGCATCTCTTTTTGGGTATTTGGGTCTCTTCCTCTTCCAATCATGCAAAAACAATTACCACCACCACCACTATGAAGAGAGATTACCACAATAATACATCCACAGACAATATTGTACCCAGAGTAAATCTTTAACGGAAACAACTACATAGAAAAGTAGAGAAACACAATTTCTTGTATTCAGCACAGACACACTCTCAGTCCAGATTGCTATGGTGATGACACTCTGTGGTTATCCAGCCAAGATCAACGCAGCAGACTGAGTCCAGGCAACCAGTGTTGTGTTAGACCGAAGACAAACGTCAAACTTGAAACACTATGGGGCTGCTTGAATTAGCCCACAATTATAGTGTGTTATTTCTGGGAGAATCATCATAACTGATGATCACTGATTAGCCTGACATCACCAGACCAAATTACAAATTTTAAGCATCTGCAAGAGCTCTCACATTCTTCTGGTTCCCAGGCTTCCCGTTGACTAAAATCATAAATAAACATGTCCTTCTGCCAATTTTAGAGTAAAAGGCGGAGGCAATCTTGGTTTTCCCCTCAGATGTCTAAGAAAGGGATGTTGCCTTGGCTAGGGCCAGAAAATGCAAATTCCAGGCTGACTGACTGAACAGCCCTGAAATTGTTTTACCTCTTTTATCAAAAAAGCTAAATCAAATTTCTACCTTTTCTTAAACTGTTACTAACTTAAATGATGTTTAGAAATTTTGGATCGTAAAAAAATCTGCCATTCTTAACTGCTTTAACAGACCAGTTTAAAGAAGAAAATGTTGGCATTTCAGAAAAGATACATGTATGTCACTTGTATGTTTCATACTTCTCATATCAACATTTCTAAAGTGCTACTTTTGTCATCAGTAGGTTGAGAGGACAGTGGATGATGTGACAACAAGGCGAGACACCTGCCAAGCTGCAGCTGCTGCTTTAGAAAACATGACAGCGCAACAACTGCTTCTATCAAAGTGGTGAATGGAAATTATTTAGGCTGAGCCATAAAAAATATTGTGAGACTCTTTTAATTGAACTGTCCAAGACTTTTAGTTTTCAAATTACCTGTCAGAACAGAATGTTTCCAGTTTGTTGGGTCTTCCTCTTCATTCCTCCTTGTAACAAACTAAAGGCGTACCCCAGGGATTCATACAAGGACCACTGCTGGTCTCTATATATGTAAGTAATCTTTGTTGTAATATATCAAATGCTGCGTTCCATTTTTTTATGCGGATGATACAGTTATGCTCATGCCCTTCAGGAGTAAAAAATTCTAGAATTGCAGTCTGCCTTTGATGTTGTTCATTTAACTCAATATAAATTGGTATGAAATGCAGACAAATCCAAATCACTGCAATTTCCAAATGGCAAGAGGATTGCATCTAATCTTCCTGAGATTTCAACTGCTCAAGGAGTTGAAATTGAAATGATCACAGCATATAAATATTTTGATATTATTATTGATCAGAACATACACACACTGAAAACTTTGTTTCTGAGTTGAAACTTAATTTATTACTAAAGGGAAATTTAAGTGAGTCTTAAAGATTGAGAAGATAGCACTCTTGGTCAGTGTGAGTGCACCTATATCTTTTACTGAAATCATTTCATAAAATTGTACCAATCTATAAATTCTGAAAGGTATAAATCATAATTATGATAATAATAACCTTTATTTATTTATATGGTGCAAAATGGCAATACAAGGTGCAACAATACAACAAAATACTACAAGACAAAATTGAGCAATAAAATGGATAAAAGGCAATATAAGGAAAATATAATATAGAAAATAGAAGGGGGCTGATTAAAGTTAAAAATACATTTTCAAAATAATTAAAAAAATTAAGAGAATGCTAAACT